TTTTTTTTTTTTTCTTTTTTTTTTTTGGTACGGGGGATTGAACTCTGGTCCTTGCGCTTGCGCAGCAGGCAGCAAAACTACTGAGCTAAATCCCCAGCCCAGAAAAATTATACTGTTATCTTTATGATACATTTAATATATGTGATAATACTGAGTTTTAGGTAGACTTAAAACTTTATTCAAATGAGGTTCTTATTAAATCTACCTACTTTATTTATTTATTTATTTTTTGGCACCAGGGATCAAACTCAGGACCTTGTATTTGCGAGGCAGGCGGCAGAGCCACTGAGCTAAATCCCCGGCCTTACCTACTTATTATACCCTGTCTTCCACTTTCTGCAAAGTAAGCTAATATTGAGTGTTGTCTATAAACTATTTTTAACTTATCTAAAGGATAATGTAGCAGAAAATAAAGTTTACTTTTCATTTCATTGTTGATGGAATCAGGGGTGTATTGTGATTACTGGACATTTTGAATATCTTTTAGAAGTTATGTTGTATCTATATTTATCAGTATTATTTGGAAGATATAGGGCCGGGGATTTAGCTCAGTGGCACCCTGCCTGCGTGACAAGCACAAGGTCTTGAGTTTGATCCCCGGCACCAAAAAAAAAAAAAAAGGAAAATACAGAGAAAAGTCACTAGTATAGATTTTGTTTTTCACTTATGAATTAAACTTAATAGGCACATCTATAGTGGTACTCTTCCTAGACACTCATGCATGGATGAATGTATGTATTTGTATTTGCTGATTAAGGAAACTTGTATTCTTTTTCCAGCTGTGCTATCAAATGGATGGTGTTCTTACTCTGCTGCCCACACACTGTTAGAGCTCACCTGTTTTGTATTCACTAAGACAAAGAAGAGGGCCAAAAAGTATTGTGAGTCAATACTGAGGGTTTTAAGTATAAAATAGGTGGTGATGGCATAGTATGTGACTGTGAAGTGAGAAGACAGAAGAGACATGGTATGTTCTGCCATAGTTAAAACGTCCAGATTGGGTGAAGGGAGTTTCATTTAATCCAGGTGTTAAACCAGGCACACTTTGTCATATTAGTTGGTCCTATCATGTGGGAATATAGCCTCGATAAGGTATAGAGATTATCCAGGGGCTGGAGTAGTAATTTTTCCTGTTATGCATAGCCTAGCATAGCCTGGGCCAATGAGGAGTAATTTCAAGGATCCTTTAGAACCACTTTGAGAATAATTTCATTTAAATTGGTATTCTTCCTACAGTTAAATATAGAACATTGAATTTTGACACATACTTTTTCCTTCCCACCTGTCCTGTCATTTATTTCCCACCCACACTTTCCTAACATTCTTATCTTTTCATGGAGCTTCAGTTTTCTTTGTACTTCTCTCATCTATCGAACTGTTTCTTATCTATGGCATTATATAGTTCTACTGAGCCATAGATAGGCATGGTTCTGTAGGTCATTATAACCTATAGAAAGTAGGTTAGTGAGTATCTGGATGCAAAGAAGCTGCTATCAGACTCGTTCTAACATTGCTGCCATGTAACATGCTCACCAAGGAGGGATGCTGCCAAATGGAGTGGACTCTTGGTCTCTGTTTTCTAATCCTCTTGGATTAAAACTATAGAGCTATAGAGTATTGCTGTTCTTTTCTTCCTTATGGTTGGGAGCTTATCCTTTGGGCCCAGTATTACCTGTTTGATTTCTAGTTCTTCTAAAAAAAAGTGAGGCACTAGTTCTACCCTACCCCTTTCTAATTTAGCTCTTGTTTGAAATTCAGAAAGAGATATTCAGTTCTTTGACTAAAGACCAAAGAGGGGAACACTACAGAGGAAGCATTCCTCCAATTGGTTTCATCATGGATCTGGTGGTTTTGCAGTTCTTTCTTTGGACACTGAAAAGTACTCATTTGCTTCTTTGGATTTTTCTCAGTTCCTACTTCTGGCTTCATATGTCCAATGATCCTGCCATTCAAGCTATCGTCATTTCATTTTCCCTATGTAGTGTCTTTATTATGGCATCCCTTGACTCATATCCTGTCATTACAGTTTGATGAAATATTTGATACTATTCTAGGCAGTTTTTCATAAAATGGACAAAATATAATTTTCTTTTTTTTAAAGGTTGTATTTTTGGGGGGCCAGGGATTTAGCTCAGTGGTGCTGCTGCCTGCCTTGCCAAGCACAAGGTCCTGAGTTTGATCTCTGGTACAAAAAAAAAAAAAGATTGTATTTTTTTTCAGAGCAAGTTTAGGTTCACAGAACAATTAAGTAGAAGGTGCCAACATTTTCCATATACTTTCCACCCTGACATATCCTCCTTATTATCAAATCTCTCATCAGAGTGATGATATATTTGTTATAATCGTCACTCCTTTAAACAGTTTTTTGAAGAAGGCATCCTGAATAGAAAAGAGCTGCAGACTTTCTATTGAAAGTTTTACGTAGAGCTATCTAGTGTCTCCATTTACTCTCATTTTAAAGTGGGTTAGAAGAATTATAGAATACAGAAATTAGCAGATTGCCAGGGATTTAGCTCAGTGCAGGGGCGAGGTCCTAAATTTGATCCCTGGTAGGAAAGAAAGGAGAGGGAGAGGGGGGAGGGAGAGAAGGGAGGGGGGAGGGAAGGGGAAAAAGGGAGAGGGAGTTATAATTTGATGAATAATCCAAAAGAGAAATTATCAGATAACTTTTCTTCCCAAACAGTAGTATCTTTTAGAAAAGAAAATAGAATCTTTTGTATATTTTGATTTTGATGTCAGCCTTTTAATTTTTTTCCTCAGTTGCTCTAGGTCGTAACCAACCTTTGAAAAAGGAGAAACCAAAATGGAAAAGCGATTATCCGATGACAGATGGACAGCTGCGCAGCAAGAGGGATGAATTTTGGGACACTGCACCAGCTTTTGAAGGCCGTAAAGAGATTTGGGATGCCTTGAAGGCTGCTGCACATGCTTTTGAGAGCAATGATCATGAACTGGCACAAGCAATCATTGATGGTGCAAATATAACATTACCACATGGTAGGTTTGGAATTCCTCAAGGACAAAGGGAACATAATCAGCTTGTTTTTAATGGCAGAGAACCAAATGGGAAGAATCTTGTTTTTCTTGCTATGTGTTTTCTAATTGTTTTAATGTAGCAAATAATAGTATTCTTCTATTTTTGTGTACCTTTCAGTTGGAGATAGTGTTTGTTTATATTTTTATGGTATAGGTTATCTTAAATCATAGAAGATAATTGATAATATGTGTTTTCTGGCTTCCATGTAATCTAGTTTCCTGTAAAGACCTCAAAACTTCTACTTCACGACTTCCTTACCAGCACTAGAGATAGTCTCAGTTTAGATTTCCTGAGACGTAGAGATTCAATGAATGTCCCTTTAGTTATCATATTTTCTCATCAAGCCTATTTTTAACATAAAAACTAAACTTAGAAGTGAGTCCCATGTGTTTGTTTTTTTTTGGTACTGGAGATTGAACTCGAGTCCTTCCCCTTGCAAGGCAGGTGGCAGAACCACTGAGCTAAATTGCCGGCCCAGTCCCATGTGTTCTTAAGGATAGTTTTCTATGATTTTAACCCTGAGCATTATTAGAAACCTCTTCCCTTTGCTTAGGAATGGGATTCTCATGACAACCATAAGCTTTGAATGTTTCTAGATACACATATGCTAGATCCATGCACATGCTCTTCTTTGGTCTCCGTGATCAGAAATACTAAAAATGTTCATGATGGGCCAGGGATTTAGCTCAGTGGCGCCACACCTGTCTGGCAAGCACAAGGTCCTGAGTTCGATGCCCGGTACCAAAAAAAAAAAGTTCATGTTACACTGAGATATTTATTTTGTTTTTATAATCTTTGTCCTTTTGATTTCTGTATTTTTTGTTTTTCAGGTAGCAGGGATCGAACTCCGGTCCTTGTGCTTGCACAGCAGGCCGCAAAACTACTGAGCTAAATCCCTGACCCTGATTTCTGTATTAATACATTTACTTTTCTCTTTAGTTTTGCAAGTTAATATTTTTCTAGGTTGTCTCTACAGACTCATATAATAGATAACCACCTAAATTCCCTTGTGTTGTTTTGTTCCCACGCATTATTATACTACCTTCACTGTTTTCCCCCATACCTCTCTTTGTCTCCATTCTTAGGAGAACACTGCTTTTCACATTTAACCGTCTGCTTTATGTCCTTCAACTCTGTGTTGAATATTTTAACTCGCTGTCCTTGCCAGCTTTCCAAATCTCCATTAATTTTCTAATTAAATGTGCTTCCTAGAAATATACCTTTTTTGTAGCTATCTGTTCATTGCAAGAGCTTATTAAGATGGTTTTGTGTTGCTAACATTTATTGAGCGCCCACTGATCACTTTTTCTACACATATATAAAAATGATCTCCTATATTTGAAGAATTTATATATAGTAGAATGCAATTTTAGTGTGACTGTATACTCCCAATTTTCATGGATAGTCTATAAATTCCTACCTTTTCTGTGGTTAGGGATTAGGAGGTGATAGACATTGTTCCATTGACTGTTTTCAGTCCTATAATTATCTTCAGCTACTCCTTTTATATATTATTAAGTGAAGGGCTTGCCTCCATAATTAGTTTTTTCGATTTTGATGGTTATATCTTATATTTTCCAAGCAGGATATATGTTTTGTGTAGGTTGGCAAGTGGGTAGAAGAAGAGTCATCTATGTGTGATTCCCTAAATTTAGAACCCTGAGATCCAGAACCTTGGAACTTTGAATTCTTTACTTTGTAAGTAACAAAGTTACCTATAGGAGTATGATTATGTTCTGCCAGTAGTGATCTTGTTTTAAAGGTCATAAAGGCTAAGTAGCTCTATTTCATGTAAGGCAGGGCCTATGTATAGTCTGTTGGATAGAGACTCAGATCCCTAAAGATGCAAGTCCCTCATTCCTCTTTATCTATATGAACTGTCAAGAAAAATAATGTTGCTGGCAGCAACACCAACCAACAAGTTAGGGAGAATTATTCTTGGAAATATGAGAGTATTGAATGAGCTTCTACTTCTCCTCTCTCCTTAAGGAGTATTTTCTGTGTAAGCATGAAAGAATAAAGCTGATGCCTGAGCTTTCCTCTTTCAGAGCTCTGTAATTTTCTGGCTATTGATATTATTTTCATTGATACTTTTGATTGAATTCCTTTGTTCATATTTGAAGCCTACTAATGATATTTGTGGAGTGAACCTTAAATTATGTTCTGGCATACATTCTCTAACTCATCATCAGTTTATAAATAAGCTATTTAGTTTGTGTGCTTTTACCTAGACTTGCTCAGTGATATTACTGAAATTCATTTCATCTTTTTAATGTAATTACATATTTGAAATTTTACTTTGGACATGTTGTGTTGTTATATTTTAAGTATCCAAAGTACTTCACATTTTGAGCTTAAATTATTGCATAGACTTTGGCTGTTTAGCTCAAGTTGTGTTATCAGATCCAGTCTCACTTCTGATTGACTGTATTACTTCCAACTACTGTATATGACTTTAGACAAATCGTTTTTCTGAAATCTTCAGTTCTTTCACATGTAATATATGGACAGTAACTACCTCATGGGAGGTTGTATTGATGCACTATGATAATAATACAGTACATGTGAATTGTTTGCCATAGTGCCTGGTATTCAAAAAATACTTAATAAATAGTGGCATTCATGATTTTATTTCCTGAACTCTAACATTAAAAAGTAAATTCCTTGCAGCAAAAAAATTTTTTTTTCCAGTACCGGGTATCGAACTCAGGTCCTTGTGCTTGTGAGTCAGGCACAGTGCCACTGAGCCAAATCCCCAGCCCTGCAGCAAAATCTTGAATTAGAAATTTTTATCCTTTTTATGGATGTATTATCTATTAGTGACAGCTTTCTTTGGCTTTTATGTTATTCTGTCCTTGAGCATATATCCCTGATGTGATTTTGAGGCTGGGTTGATTGAGAACCACAAGTCCTAGTAGATTTATTAACTAGAAAGCAAAATAATGAAGACATAAGTTAGCCTCATCTTATACCTGGTTCATCTCTATCCCTTCTCTATATTACCTGTAAGAGTACTGAGCACATTGTAGGTCAGCTAAGCACATTGTAGTTCAACAGTCTGGAAAGATCCTAGGTCACACTCTCTTAGGCTTTCTTCAGTCAAATCCTTGTACTTTCTTGTTTTCATTTTATCCCATCTTCTCATGTCGTTTTATTATCTCAACTTTATTCATACTGTTATTTTCCTAGCAGAAATATAAACGGTTCTTGATAATGTGTGTAATAAACAGTTACCATCATTTTTTTTCCTTCTGTTTTGAGGCAGGGTCTTGCTATGTAGTTTAGGCTTGCCTTGAACTCACTATGTAGTCCAGGTTGACCTTGAACTTGAGGCAGTCCTCCTGGCTCGGCCTCCTGAGTGCTAGGATTACAGGCATGCACCACCACACCTAGCTACACTTAGAAATTTTAAAAGAATTTTTTTTTTTTTGGTACCAGGAATCATACTCAGGTCCTTGTGCTTGCGCAGCAGGTGGTGAGACCGCTGAGCTAAATCCCCGGCCCTTAAAAGAATTTTTTAAACTGCCTGTTGCCTCTTGCATTCCCCTGCCTTCTAATTTTCTATAAAGGTAGCTGGTTTTTTTTCTTTTTCTTTTCTTTCTTATTTTCTTCCTTTTTTTTTTTTTGATACTTGTGATCAAACCCATTGCCTCTTCCTTACTAGGTAGGCACAGTGAGCTACATCCCCATTCATTGTTTAGCATCTACAATTAACTCATAATTATTAGGGTAATTTTTTCTAGCATGTTTCCCGTGTCCCTGCAATTTAAATGTAAAAGCTCCTCTCTTAACCTTTAAGACTGTTCAATCCAACTTTATTCTTACTTTGTAGCTAAAATTTACTAATTCTTCAGTTTGGTTTTTGAAGTCCTGTTCCTTTTTGTCCTTAAGTGCATAAGGACCTGATAAGAAAAGATAATTCTTAGACTCAACTTTTGTGTACTGAACCCAGGGCCTCATGCATGCTCAGCATGAGCTCTTTCACTGAGCTACACCCCCAGCTCCAGACTTTTGTTATTCTCTTCTTTTCACAGTTTGTTGTATGAACGGGGCAGGGTTGAGTTTCCTAGAATTTTTTTTTTCTTTCTTACCATTATCTCAAAATATATTAAATGTGTACAAGTTAAATTATATATAATAAAGTTTTGGCAACAGAGGCACTTATAAAAAGCATAAAAGGATTTTACATATAAAGAGCCAGTATATATTGAAAAGAACACTAAACTGAGAATCATGAATAATGAAATACTAATAAGTTATTTTTAATATTACTTATCATGCCTGGAATAATCACCCAACAACAATTCTCATTTTACACAGACAAGAAAACTGAAGTACACTGTCTTATGAGTGCAAGGTCCTGAGTTCAATCCCTGGTACCAAAAAAAAAAGGAAAACTGAAGTACAGAGAAGTTGCATGTTTTTCTCTGGTGTATAAGTCATGAAATTGGAATTTGAACTCAAGTCTTGGATATACAGTAAGAGTAACTGAAGTAGCTCAGTGTACCCCTGACAGATCATTTCATCTCTGTTCTGTAAAGTGAATGCACATATCATTGCTGTTTATTCCATGTCAAATGTTTCAGATCCCTTGTATATTATGTAGAGTACTTTAAATTTTTGTAGTTCTATTAGAACTAAAGGGAAACAAGCAGATTCCTTACGACATAGGAAATGCATGTGTATAGACCTTTCTCTTTCTCATAGGTGTGTCTAAAGCCCATTAAGAAGCAAGCCAAGGGGCCGCAGCTTGCAGAGATGGTTGGACTTCTGATCCTCTTCCTTGTGAAAAACTGAAAGTGTAAATAAGGATCAAAATGTATAATTCAAAATGTGAAATAGGAAGAAAAGGTTTAAAGGAGTAAGGGAAGTGGGAAGGGTAGGGGAAAGGAAAGAAGGGAAAAGAAAAAATATGAGAAAAGGAAAAAAATGGAAACAAAGTCTTTGTAAATAAGGAAGG